CTCATTAGATCATTTCTGAAGTTTTAAAATACATTTAGATACTTTACTCTTTTCTACTAGGCTTAGTCAAACACGGACTAGGTTTTAATTTTTACCTATTTTCTTTTGGTATTTTATACAAGCGAAGGATAGTAAGTCTACAGCGACTGGAGCGATCTCACATGTGATGACAACCCGTCCTAATCTTGCCCTACTCCATCGATGGAATCGGAATATGAATAGAAAGCGTAATTTTCTGTCGACTTTATTTAATTTAAGTTATATATATAAATGGAATTAGGAATTGAAATTTATTCGAGAGGTCAGGGAAGGGAAAGGGATAGGGAGGGTATATCTCGGCCCTACCTCTGCTACCCCTACCCGTCTGACTTTGTTGAAATTACTTTTTAAGTGAAAACATCTTAACATGCTTGAGTTTTGTTTTCCTTACAAATTTTCGAAAGTAATTTTTAATTTGCAATCAAAATAACTTACATGCTTTTTTAACTTTGATAATAAAAAATTTGGGAACTATTTCTAACTAGTCAATTTTTTCGACGAAATTGGAATTTGTCTTCCACCAATAACATTATTAAGCTCCTATTTGGTTCGGATTGAAATCCAATTAATTTTTCAAGTCAAAATCAATAATTAATTTTAACCAAATATTTTATGAGACTCGCAATTTTTCAACCACACAAATTTCATCAACCTTTATCAAAATCTACTAAAAATTTATTTTAATTTCTACCAAACAAGGTCTAAGGTATTTTTTTATATATATAAATATGCCATATTAAGGTATATTGTTGCCTGTTTAGACCACGAGCAAACATATTAATGACGAGGAAGACATTTTTGTTATGCTATTAATATTATTATCATCCTTTCTTTTTGCATGCGAATGTCAAATCATTTAGGTATTCTCATCAAATTAGGTATAATTGACGGATTTACCAAAATCACACTTTTAAGGATTAGCGTTTAAAAGAAGTATATTGGTTTGAATAACGTTTAACATCTTCCATTTCAATGCGTGCGAATCAGATAAGGATTACATGACGATTCCACAATTTGCTCTTTCTCTCGAAAATTGAATTTTTGAATTGTTGATTGCAAGTGTGAGTATTGTATCCTTAAATAAATCTAAGTACGAGGTTACAATTGCCCTCTTACTCAGAAGCACAACATTTTTCAAGTTCACTATGAAATCAACTTTAAACTTGCTTAGATGATCATTGCTAGTTAATTTTTGTAAGAAAATCAAAGTGAACACACTTTATTTCGTCCTTATTGCTTCATATTTAAATTAATCATTTTCGATCATAAGGGTACATAAAATCAATTATAATATGAAGTAGCAAAACAGAAGCAGCGGAAGAAACAAAACATTCATTTATTTATGTATTCTACCTATGTTTTAAAGGCTACAATAAATCGAGACATTAGAACATGATCATTGGCAATAGGCTTTTGCCGTCCCACTCAACTATTTTTGAAGTACTTGAACAAATAGCTAGAGATGTTCGTATTACACTTACCGTTTCTTCATTCATTTCATGGCAAACCACAACGTCTTGATCCTGTTTGGCACTCATTCTCTTTCTCATTTTTTTCTCTTTCTTCATTCCAATCACACATTCTCTAAATAAAATAATATTAAACACAAATCTAAAACTTCTCATTGCTTTTCCACCACACAATCTCCCATTAATCACTATTCAAAAAAATTTCAACGCATTAAAATGGGTGTCAAACACTCAATCACTCCATACAAAAGGAATGATAACTAAAAAAGAGTCTTTTCTCACAAGGTGGAAGAATTATTTTCTAAAGGAAATTGAACATGGGTCCATAGCAAAATGGTCACTACCAAAAATACTCCTAATATTACAAATTTCTATAAACTCGTAACTTTTACTTGACCCCTGTTTGACGAGGATTAAAATCAAATTTTTAGTAGATTTTGATAAAAATTGTTGGTCCTATAAAATATGTGATTAAATTTAATTGTTGATTTTGACTTAGTATGTTCGTATCCTTTTGAGACAAATATTGAAATTTCCAAAAGAAGAGTCACTATTATTCGGTGGATGCACAACTTTTGAGCAAATATTGAAAGCTTCCAATAGTATATTTATTTCGCAATATAGATGGACACGATAAACGGTTCGACTAATCCAGACAGTTTCGATTATATAGCATTTACAATTCAACTAATGAAGATATTTTTAATTGTATAGCATCAAGAAAGTTTCAACGGTCACTATCTTGACGATAATTCTTTTGTTCTATTTTCATGCTACAAAAATCACCATCGTTCTTAATTTCAATTGAC